ACAGCAGTAATATATAATAATGAAAGAAAAGAGTAATGTATGTAGAATATAAAACTGTGTAAAAATGTAAAACTATGTAAAAATGTAAAAACTTTGTCTTCTATTATGTATAATAGATCTGTCTCTTTGCTCTTATACTAATCTATTTTTGCTATACGATGTTATAAGCATTCTTGCTAATAATAATTGAGAGAAATTTCAAAATCGGTGTTTTGGTAAAGTAGTGACAGAGGGTGCTGGAGAGAGCATGGTGCTAAATTTTAATATTCACGAAATAATAATGCGAGACAGATTTTTATCAAACAATGTAAATATTCGACGATATTTAATAGTTCCAAATTTCCACTTGAGAAATATATTGTAATAGCCAGTGTGAAATTAATTTTCGCTGGATTAGAGGCTTAGAAGCAAGCTTGCAGCGCCATGATCTGCTGGTCAAACGAAATTCTTCTTGTTACATGCTCATTGGCGGTTAGTTCTTGGTGGGGCGTGCATGACATCACGACGCATGTTTCGTACTATCGAATATGCTGAGTGACAGGTGGTGTAGTACCTAGTTCTGTTATGTACTGTGTATGGAGGATACGAGCCGTATCCTCGCGTCACGCGATCGGCACGTTGTTACTCGTCGATTTCAGTGCTAAGTTTTGTGATGCATACCACGATTTCACGCGAACCATCTGAGAGATTCGACTCTGCAAGAAGAGGTGAGCCTAGCATTTATTCAATGTTGTTCAAAATTCGCTTCTTCGGTGTTTCCACGTATGCATGTAGGCACCAACAACATTCCATTGAAATAAGAAAAAATGTTTCCATCTATGGTACTTTACGACATTGTATGGAACAAATATTTAATGTTAATTACAAACATATCTGCGAGATAAAATGCATGTTTTATGATTGTTAATCATCACTTAAGTGATTACTTAATTTTGTATTTGGATTATTAAATTAATCAGTTTTTCGTACGATGTACAATTTTAATATCTGCATAGAATGTTACTCGAAAGATGATTCAATTCGTTTTAATTAATTTCCTACGCATAAACAATGAATATAGTTTTTCAATTATGTATAGAAAAGTGAGGGTGCATACATGATGACTAACTATAAAATTAAACCGAGTCAAATTCAGCCGCTGTAATAGTTTCTGCCCAAGGGTTCTTTTATGATGTTGTTTTGCATTTAGTTCGGTCAAGAATTGGATACCTTCTCTACATAGGTACATATTGTCCCATTTCGCGAAGTATTGGTTTGCGAACGGATGCACAACATGAGCCTAGTGGAGCAACATTACAGCGACCGAAGTTCTGATGAAATAGACAAAATCCAATGTAAGAATAACAGCAGTTTCTTGCAAATACCAGAAACTAAGTCCAATCTGAAGGGCACGTGTATAAAAAAGAATTTTTGATAACATATTTCAAAATCATTGAAATCCTATACGGTAGTTATTATAAATTATTTTCACACGAAGGAACAGGGCTGCGGTAAAATTGGCTGCAAGGAATTTGTGTCAAGTTTTTAGTATGAAAAGTACAATTTATTTTTTCCAGTGTTTTTGAGACAGCTATACAAGTACAGGCCAGGCATAGGGCCGTTCGGAATTTTATTTCTGTGAGTAAACACGAGTGTATTTCGATAGAATTTCCAATTAGTTTTTGGCAGAGAGGTCTTTACGGAAGGTTGAGGTGCATGCGCGACATATCCAGGGATTTTTCTCTCTTCTACGGCGACTAACATAATTCGATTTTCTCCCTTTGCTTTTCTCTCATCTCGCTTTATTTTAATCTGTTACTGAATCTCCAAAATAATTTCACACTTCGTCTCACATTGAGAGTCGTTTAAGTAAGCAAACGCAAGTGCCGATAAATTGAAATTAAAAGTTGTCGCAGCGCATATATAATTTGTACGCTAATGATAACGATAACATATATAATTTAAGGTTTGTTTTTCATGTAAATTGCGAGGTCTTCGATATTTCGGTCAGTATCGATTGCAGGATGCGAAACTGGGTAGGGTCCTCCGTTTAAAATATCCCGACGCGGATTCTGAGCTTTCTCTCTTTTGTTCAAAACTAAGCATCGTGTATTAACAGTTTCACAGTTTCTTGTCTAAACATAAATTACCCAGTGTCGTATTATCATACGTAGTTGGAAGAAATCGGTAAGTGTTCTTAAAACAGACCTATTTCGTATTCGTGTGTTCGGAGTGCGCCGAGGTGCAGCAAATTGGGCCAGTGTCATTTATCGTTCTACATCTGGGAATCACGACATACCACCACCTTTCACCATTGATTTGATGCACATATTTAAAGTGGAATTCCTTCCTAAGGTTCTACCTCTCACCTACCTATATCTTTCCGCGTAGAGTAGACAACTCGGGTCGATCCGCGATACTTTCGATCCGTCTTTAATTCAAAAATGTCAAACCCAATTCGAAGACGAACAGTTATTTACTCGTCTCTTATCTTTTCCTTATTTGATAGTGAATGATTAGGTACTTCGTTTACGTGAATATAACTACAACGCGATTCTCATTAACGTGTTTTGCTTGGTAGAATACTGATCGAAAAGCTAGAATAGCGAGGCACGTTGGGTGCTCTGATAGTTGTAATAGATAGCATAATCGTGTTCTTTCATAAAGGCACTTGCGCGTTCACCTTGTATTTTCCTATGTAGGAAACGTTGCTTAAGTGAGAGGGGAACTTTGGCTCGTTCGCAGGTGCTGTGAATCGAGATGATATCTCTTCGTGTACCGAAGGATAATAAATGTTTATACGCTTTTTACCTACTTTAGAAGCAATTAAGTTATGGGTTTAAGGAAGTACGCTTAAATATGTAACACTATTCTCCGAATTATTCTCTAATTATTCTCTAATGTAAATATAATTTATAACAGTAATAAAAATAAGGAAGAAAATAAGCGATGGCATTTTGACTCTATACCATTTATGTACATGTTAATTCAGTGAATTAACAACAGTTTTGATTTACTTGTTTTCATCGATGCAATTCACTTTATGCACGAATCATTTCAAGCGATTTTCACGTTTGATGGAACTTTACTTTCACTATCGCGGTGAATTGCTTTAAATCATTTTAGTACATCGCGATTGAATTGAAATTATTCTCATTAATCTTCAAGGCGTCGGATCTGAGCGTTGTATTTCTTTACCTCGCAGAAAATAAACTCAAAAGTCTCACTCAAATTATAATAATGATTTTTCAAACATATATTGTAAAATAAGGATTCTTTTAGTAGTATCGAAATATTAAAAATGTTCTGGTTTCTTATAATGCAATGGGTATTCAATTGCTTAATATGCTTCTGGCTTATGCTAATTACAGATTAAATTTACAAATTGTTTACTTGTTTAGGTTGTGTTGGAACAAGGTCAGAGAATCTATATGGGGCAATGCGTGTCTCGTAAGGCGGGCGCCGTCATCGCAACCGGACATCGCGACTCGCTCACTTATCGTATTATGGAAAAACCCTCCAAAGTAAGTCATTTATAAATATTACAATCATTTTTATTAAGCCTATCTTACAACTAATCTATCTTACAAAAGTTTAGGTCAAAAAAACGAAAAATTTGTAGTATATTAGTAGAACAAAGTATAGTTCTATTGAATTTCCGGGTTCAATCAGTTTTTTCGATTTCTAAACATGTATGCATGCAGTGGGAAATGCATAGCGCACTATGTGCACTGTACTTGATTCATTATTTATTGCACCTGAGGGATAATATTTTATAAAAGGCCTTCTATTGATGTTAATTACACGCTCGGGTTCAAGAGTACAAACTAAGGTTTCACATCATTGTATTCTACCCGCGGGAATCTGTTCTTTATATTAGATGACCTTTCACGGTGTTTTTCACGCAGAATACGTACATGTAAGACATTAGAGTACGTATCGACGCGAGCAAGATAATATTTAATAAACATTTTTGTCGAATATCAGACACTTGTTACGACTATGGTTTGTTACGTATGTACCTACAGTACAGGGGAACTATTAAATTAAATTGAAACCTACTAGTAGAAAAAGTTATTTTCAATAGTCAATCAAAGTCTTCAGTTTGTTCATATAACGGAACTGATCTCCAGTTCTCTTATTGTACGAATAAAGTCGTGCGCGAACGAACGTGAATGAATTGGTGAAAGCGAGGGAGTTTACGAAGTAAAAAAGGAATGAACATAGATATATGTGCTACGTGAACTCGATGGGTATCAGCTATAGAAAATCAAGCACACGTATTTTACAAATAGAGCAGCAAAACATTTTCTAAATTGCGTTTCTATCTGATTTGAACTTTCTTTTAACATCTCCCATTTATAAAAGGTTGCCGAGTTATGAATATACATTCCATACACAACATGCAATTCACTATCTTTTTAAATTCGATTCTACATTTTTGTATCTATGAATTTCGTCAAAATCAATGCGAGCGTTTGAAATCAGAGAATTTTACGTAATATTGAAGTATTGATATTTTTGGGAAGTATTTTATTCTCGGTTACGCCGTTGGTCAGACGAAATATACATCAGAGCCTTTCTTGTCTTCTTCGTCCTTTCACTCGGTCATTTGTAGTATTTCAATGTACCCAAGTACGTGTCTCATTTTTCTCATTTACTTCCTGCATTGAAATTCACTTCGTGAATTTTCTTTTTATGCAACGCGCGTTCGAAGAACTTGTTTCGATGTCTGTGTTAGATCAAGTTTTAACGAGAAACTTCTCATAAGTGAACGATATGCGAAACGTCCTTAAGAATATCAGTAAATTCTTGACACTGCGATTGTTTAAACAAATTTTATTTCATATTTTCAATCATATCCGTAGAGGAGTTCATGTTTCAAACAGAAATCGGAAGAGGTGTGATAATTAAATCAATTTTTCTGAGACCGTGCCTTGTAGTCGTGGTTAAATCGATTATAGTTGTCGTTTAGAAATATCAGATTATGTAATTGCATCAATTTATTGAACTGGCTAAAGTTTACTACAACATGATATTACAGTGTAAGTGAATGTACGGTTTGCGAATTTGATACGAAACTGAGGTTGCTGCACCGCAATGTACTAAGCCTGTATCTTATAACATTGTACATACAGCAACAGCCAGCTGATTGTATGTGATACTATTCGAAGGCCATACTCACAAAGTTCAATGTTCTTAACTAATGTAATTTTTAGCAATGTCCTTAGTATTATTTATATTTTTATTTTGAATTTATTCATTATGGATTTTTAACGTCATATATATATCTAAAATAAAAGAATCTTCCTTGGTTGGAATAGATAATCCTGATAATCGAAGCAAACTTTTATGTAGAACTATACTTGGATCTAATATACATACATATAGTAGGAATATGCAGCCTGTAATAGATAAAGGAATGCATATATATAATATGTACAGCATATATGTTTAAAAAACGAATGATGAAAGGCCTCGCTTTTGCGGTAACTCTACCGTTATTTTACGCTTACTGATCATACGTTATATTCATTCACATTCCAGGGAACCTTCAATTATTATTATGTATTGTTTCTGTACCTGATTTTTTTATGAATTTATTTATTTCTCGCTCAATTAAAGATATATAGGCTATATACTTAAACAATGCTAGCATGTCAAATTTGTTACTATAGATTCTTATTACTATTAAACAGCTACCTTTAAAATTTTAAATCAATTCGTGGGTTTTTCGAAAAATTATAGTGACTTAAAATTTGCATGTATTCTTATGGTAATCAGCAATAACCT